GCTCATTTTTTCACTTTTTAATGTTTCTGTTTTGTACAGTTCAGCTTAATCTAAAAGACTACATCCTTGTATCAATAAATTACAACCGTAAAAAAATGGAAAGCTTTCTAATTATTTTCCYTTYTTCCCTTTTCCTTTTGGACTTTTTGGTGAGGCTGAGTTATCCAGAGATATCCCCATTTTCTTACTGATTTCTTCGTCTTTGGCTTTGATTTGAAGATCAACGCTTGTCTTGAGCTGAAATAATTTAATGATTAAATTTGTTTTTCTAAAAGATCCTTTGGTGGAGCACTAACACTAGGATACAAATAACACACTACATAAGGTGTCCCAGACGCATTGTCCCGACAGAGATTTTTGCCCCTCGCTTCTTACAATCGCRCTACAATCTTTACGAGAAGGCTAAACTATTTAAAGAACCACCATAAAAGATACATGTGATACAAGTGACAATGTACCGAGCWGCATGTATCCTAGTTTGCCACGGCACTTATTGTTAGTGTGTTATTTGCTCCAGATGGTTGGGTTTCGAGTCTCACCCASAGTAGACTCACTCTTTACTAACTGCTGAATATGTGGAACTCGTAGCACTTGCAGTTGCAACAAGTAGAAATAGAACAAAGTTATATAGTGCTGAAAAAGGACTCTTTGGAATGAAATCTAATTTCTGACCTCGCTGGGATTCGAACCCACAACCTTYGTATTTGTTCTACCAATGCTCTACCAGCTAAGCAACAAGATCAGAGCAGGCGGGGGTAAAATATAATCCTTGATGAGGTCGGTAATTTATTTTCCGAATTTATTTCCAAGGGTCTCTCACTCGGAATTACCTCCTTTCTAAACATTCTACTTCATGTCTTTACTGACTGGTGTGAGGCAGTTGCATCAAATAAATAGCTCCCATCATCCCACTGGGGAGATCATAGCAAATGGATGCACTACCCCCTTTATCCCCACCCCCCACCCCAACTACCAAGAGTTGTGTTACCTGTTCAACTTGTTCTTGAAGAACTGTTGAAATCATTGCTTTTAATTCTTTYACAGCTGGAGTTTCTGAAAAACGAAAGATGGTAAGAACTCACTTGCACAAAGGTTACTGGCACCAAACAATTATTCTACAAAATATAATAAATGATGACAACTTGGTGAATGGATGAATAAATCTCAAACAGGAATTTTTGTTTCAAACTAGGGAAAGGAGAAATAATGATGCCCTTTACTGACCTTCAATTTCAACTTCAGATTGTGCAGCTCCTTCAGACGTGAGTTCTTCAGTTTCTTTCTATAAAATCACATGACATTGACTGAGTGATGCATAATGTATACGGTATATAGTATTTAACTCACCTCTTCTTTGTTCTCTTCCTCTCCACCTTCTACTTCCTCTTCATCTGCGAGTAAAAAATAATTTCAAAAAAGTCAAAGTTTTAACTGTAACAGATTCAAATTGCTTTTGTCATGCATGACTTTCAAAATTGGCGATTCTAAGTCAATGTCACCGATAATTGGGAGTCTTCCTCAAATACTTCATGACAGAAAATGAAATAAATGTACCATGATATTACTTTCAAACACGCAAGCAATTTCTGCAGTGTGCGTTTCCATGTTTCATCATTAGTCACTCAATCATGACCTGCCACTATGTTTGAAGTCATATATTAAATGACATCTTCGGATTTGGTATCATTCATAGCAGACACAGACTTCTGGCAGGAAGACTGCATATTCTACATACTTTTATTCAAATATATTTTGGTTGAGTAACCATTGTACAAATGGATTGYGGACAAGGCTTTGAGCAAACACTGGATAATCTTAATGCATTTTTTATATTTCCTTGAACCTACTGTAGTCTACAATAGTTCATGATCAACAAAAATATCTTGAATTGTAAGCAGTATTATTGTTGTATACACACAGCTGTGCACATGATAAACACTCATTACCTTCAGTAGGTGGAGGAGTGTCAGGTAATCCAACATAATCTATGGCAAGATCAAGTCTAATCTAATATTAAGGGAAAAATTATCAGTGTGATGCATAGCAAAAGATATAGAGTAAATATACAAGAGACACAAAATATTGAATGTGTATCCTTCCCTCTTGAAATCATATCTTACGTATTTATTGCATTTAATACCAACTATCATCTGTTCTTGTTGTTGTTGTTCAATGTCATATTTAGCTACCCTGTTGACTGTCAATCAATAATTACATAACTATCATTTTTACAACAAACCTTGGGYGTGAAGGCATATTTATACAGCTTGTAATGGCGAAAGTACCTGCACAATATCAAAGCACAAGGTTTAATACTATATTTGGAAACACATCTGTTATGCAATTATTTTAGAACTTTAATGGACACTGGAATTGGAAGTAAATAAAAAGAATAGTAAAATGAGTCACAACAAGATGCAACAACTTCTCTCTTCCTCCCATCCTAATTTTTTAAATCTTGTAAGAATRATAATAATTTATATTGTTAATCMGTTTTTCACTATTAATCTCATTACTGTCTCAAATTGCTAGTGAAATGATTTACAGTGTACTCACGTATTAACAATGTAGGTTGTTATCATTTTTATTTGGTCTGTTGAAAACAGTGCAATGCTGAATGGAGGTCTCTAAGAATAAACAACACCAAACATGGATTTATGTCAACTTTCCATTGCTAGCATGTCAAAAGCTATAAGTTACTGATCATTCACTCACAGATATTAAGACAGTGAAGAATAAAATTGAAGAAGATACAAGAACATTGTTTAGCAAACACTATTCTCAGAAAATCTGTTCATYCATGATCATGTCTTACAATTAAATGTACTTGTACTGTACCAAAATATCATACAAAAAATCTCATCATAATCATTGTCAAGAGTACTTGCCGTCTTTATTATCATGTGTGTGATAATATTGTCACGTGCATAGTTGATAAAATAGACAGCAATTGCTATTTCTATTTATGTGATACCATCATAATTGCCATCTCATATAAGGCCTTTACCAACAATACATAACTGCATATATCACAAAATACTGTTTACCAGTGAACTAGTAGTTTCTACTTACTTTCATACTGTGGCAAAGTATCAATTCCTTGCAGTACTCAAACACAGACTCCACATTACCATAAGGAGTGTCTAACAATTTACAAATAGATCAAAATTACACATAAATCTGGACATGAAACAGTGCATCTTGACAAAGACAAATAGATTGGTGTTAGCTTAGCAAGTGAAACCACTAAACTTTGTCTATAATTTCTTCAAAAAATATAATTGCTTTTTGTGGAAATAATATTTTGTGCTTGCTTATATATTTTACACTTCCCTCATGTTTTGTCTATCCCTATATCACTTGATAAAGCATTAACAAAAAATAAATCTGTATTCATCACCATTTGACAAAGTTTGACCAGTAAACGTTCACAGTTTAAAGAATTTTCTTTTTTTCACCGTTTTTTTTTTTTTTTCAAGGAATTTTTCAGCACATATAGTATATCTTACCTACTGCCATTTCATGGATTGATTTTAYGATAGAAAAGAAGGCAGAAAGTTGTTCCTTTGTGAAGTCCTTATCCTTGCTAAATGTTTCAAATGTTAAAGAAAAAAAGAACGTATACAGGATGTTTGTCCAGGTAACTAAGAAACTWTGCAAGTAATGTGGTGTTGAATTGTCTGCAAATCTGCATGATGCTGCATGTACTAACTATATTGCCATAAAAAGTGTTATTATAACTAGCTGTACTGCTTGCTTTGATACATCAGACAACTTGTAGATTGAAATAATTCATCAATTGTATATTTTGAATGAATTTAGAACAATTAATTCCACTCGGCTGATTGGTATCTAAATTTTGTCTCTGATCAATGTTACAATGGTTTGACAAGAAGTGTTGGATTACTTATCATTCAGTCACACATGGTGTGTACATGTACATCATTAACAAAAGTTTTTTGTACTTTTTATATTATTTATTTTATATTACAATGGCTGATCACGAATTATGTGCTAAGTGGTGTAATATAATATATAGAATTAATATTGATTMATGAGAAGGATATTGAATTGAGTAGAAATAAAGATCAACCAAAATCCCAGACCTCAGGTCTTCTTTAGGGTCTTTTAATTTGAAAATGTCAACCAGAATACTGCAACCAAAAACAAAACAAAAAACACATTAGTATGAGCTTGAGTTTAACTGCATTAAATGGGAATGAAGTATTAAAGTTAGTAGATGAAAAACTCACTTGCTATTACCTCATGAAAATTCAAACTATGCAAGACAGGTTCTCAGTCTTAGTWAAAGTCCCCTTAYTGATTTMACTGGTCATATCTCCCWTCTTCCCTTCCATGTGGGTTGARYGAGGGTCCTTTTTAGGATCAAAAGTTCTATCACTCAAACTATCAGTTGTATCTACCTTTGAGTTTCCTCAGATGATGTACTTTTGAGAATTTCATCAACATTTTCCAATGTAAGGTCGGCCCTGGATACAAAWAGAAGGCACAATGTTAAACCATTTAGCAATGATGCAAATATAAAGTACAAATGAACACATGTACWTACCAACAAAGCACTTTGGGCTTAAACTTTCGTTTCTAAGCATTGATAAAAAAAACAAAATATTAAAGAAAACTGCCTGAAAAATGCAGCTTTATAAATTTGTATACTTTTTGTCATTTAAATTACCTAACTGTAGCGGATTTCTGCAAAAAACTGTAATAAAGCACTGTAATATTATGTTATTCATCCATATAACAAATGCAATCTTCACTTACTTTATCTACAGACGGCATATCTCATCAAAAAGTGCCTTCACTAACTTAACAACAACAGACCGCCATTTTGGTTTCCACAGAAACACGTTCGAGCCCACGAAATACAGCAGCGGCTACTAAAATGACAACAAGGCCCGGCTACAAAGGAATCGAAGCACGAAAACAAAATGGCGGAAGCCARTGGCATCGATTTGTTGTTAGATTTTCACGTACATTCTCTTTTTCCTTGACAATGTTCGGTGGCTCAAACGATCGTAAGAGTGARTCGATTGTTTCCAAGGCTCAGGCTGCGAGACAGCAGCGAGCAGAGGAGAAAGCACGCGAGAAAGCGGCTTTGAAAATCCAGGTTAGCTCAACATTTCAATGTGTTATGCACGTTACAAGCTTAATTACCCGGGCTGATATCCTCACCGACTGACAAAAAAATGTTTATTGTTTTTAGTCATGGGCAAGAAGAGTTATCTGTGTTTGTAAAATGAGAAGAGAAATAAGGTAGATTTTCTTATATGAATGACTCAAGATACAGATTTTACTAGCTATCTAAGCTATAAGTTTTACATGTGCACAGTTTTTCAATTTTACAAGGAAAGAGATTGATGTGTGCATGTGTGTATTTTTTTTACCAGGAAAGAGATCGATGTGTTTTTTGATCAGGAAACAGACAATACAAATACACCAGGTTTGTTAAGCAATGTCTGATCTGCCATTTGAAAATCTTGTTTGAATTATGAGTGTTGGTTGAGCCTGTATTTTCATTATACTAAAATATCTGTTTTCTCTGACAGCTGTTGAAGTGTTTCAAAAGATCAGAAGGTTCCTTTTTATTTTTCAAGATAAGAATGATTCCAAGGTATGTAAATAATTTTGAAAAATACTGTCTAACAGTYGATTGGCTGATGTAGAATRAACATTGCTTTTGTTGTGTAATAGTAGTATGTTTATTGTCATTAATGGTTAATGATTAATTTGACTTCAATTTATGTGAATTGATTGGATATGGCAGACAATTTTTTGTTGATTTATTTATTGGCCTCTGGTGCAAATCCTAGAGAGGATCCTGTAGGATCTTATTTAGGAATGGGATCCTAAKTAGGATCCCGAGCAGGATAATGCAAAGGAATGGGATCTTACACAGGATCACATTCTTATGTAAACATCCTAAGTAGGAATAGGATCCTGTATTAGGATTGTTAGGTTACAAAATTGTGTCAGGATCCTATAGRATCMCAGCCAGGATTTAAAACCAGGGAACATGCATACTCTCTTGTATTCCAGAGRTTTCTGAGTCTTTGTCGAATTATCCTTGCAAGTATGGAGCAGAACAATCCTAAGGTAGGTAGTTTTTAATAGGAGYTGTATTTTCACATACTGGTGAATGTTTTAAAATGTAGACAGAGAAAGTCCATTTCAATTTCTATAGGAATATGATTTGACACTTGATTGAAAGAAAGGTGCATTTTTTAGTTATGGTATATAACAGTGGCTTTATCACAAGAATACATTCTCCTATGGATCCAACAAATCAAGAAGATTTTATGGCATTGTTGCACATTTATGAGAAAGCTTAAGGTATTTCATGTAGACTACATGTTTTTTCCCTTCCATTCTTTCATTTCCTACTTTCAACTTTCCCTTTTCAATCTATTCATTTCTTGTTCATTATTTTTTCTTGCTTTCCTTTGATTTTCCCACTTTGTTTGAATTTATCTATAGATTGTTTCCTTTCTGTCTGTACCTTCTTACCTTTGAATCTTTCATTCTTTCTTGTCATCAAAGATTCTTGTCAACTATATAGTCATGATATTTTCTCATTCTTATTTTTATACGCATTATATTTCAGCCTCATGTTGGAAATGATGCAAAGGCGATTAGCATCTATCTAAACATGGTAAAGGATTTTGTTTATTTCCGGGGGAGGKAGGGGGTACTCCCTCCAAACTTGGGTAGGAATATGCCGCTGGGACCTCAAAACCCTAACCCTGTTCCAGAGTGAAATCGCTGAAAACTATAACCTGTTCCAGAGTAAAATCGCTGAAAACTWTACCCTGTTCTAGAGTAGAATYGCTGAAAATGATACTCTGTTCCACAGTAAAATACAGTACTAGCCTGTGTGTAGACCGAATTTTTWCCCTGTGAATTTTTACCCAGCATTGATAATTCCGGAATTAAACGCTGATCCTGTCCAGAGAAAAATGGTGAAATCGATACCCTGTTCCAGAGTAAAATCGCTAAAAACCATAGCCTGTTCCAGAGAAAAATCACTGAAAGCGATACCCTGGTTGGCGCACATCCCCGTATAGCAAATATAGGGGAGTACCCCCCTGGGTTTATTTTAAATCATTTAATGTGCAAGTTTGTAAACACAGTACATTACCTTTAAAGTTAAATATTGAGTCTCTAGGATATTTGATTTAATAATAATGTTTTTTGTTCCATTCCATGAATCTGTCTGTAGCTGGTAACATTCACAGACTGTTCCAAGTGGAAAATATGTCTTTCTAAAGGAGGTATGGAAATCCTTGTCACTCTTATGGTTGTTATATTGTTTGATTTTATTCCCACAGCGTTTTGTATTAATCAGTCATATTATCTTTATGTTAGGAGAGGCACTAAAGCCAAGCCTGCAGCAACTGTGTTCTAATGTCCTTGGCTATTTGAACACAAGAGGTTTTTATTCTGCCTTAAAGGTGAGAATATTATACCTTGTAGCTTTTCATATACAGCTATTTGAAARAAAAGAACATTTTAAAAGGTAGATCAAAGTGAGTTCTTGGTTGAGTTGTGAATGTTAACTTGTCATTGGTGTRAATTAAGAACCACCCAATCTCTTCATTGTAATCAAAATGTTTAAAATGGAGTATTTGCACGAATATATATTTTTTTATTTCCATCTTTCAAGGATCTCCTTTTAAATGGTCTTGCACGTAATGATCCATCTCTCAAGCTAGTGTCTTTGACTGCTGCTATAACACTGTCCCTTAGGTGAGAATGATTATGTATAAGAKTCATTAATAAATTCACTGCATTCATATTTTACTGAATCTGTTTTTAGGTCTCTTGTTCTTTCCAAGTTTTCTGACAACCTTTGYAGTTTATTTATTCTCAATATTCTTTCAATTCCTGGTTTAGTTCTTCATGTTTCTACAATTGCACCAGAGGTAAACTATCAATCTTARTCATAAATGCATAAATACAAAATACATAAGAATTATTCTTATTAGAAAAYGTTTGAATCATTGTGACATGACTTGCTTATAATTTCTTCAGATTTTGAAGAGCTTTCAAARCCACATGTTGTTCAGTAGAGTAATTGAATTCCTTTCTTCTGAACAAAAAAGTAGAATAACATTCCATTCATTGGAGTGCAGTTATTCTTTGTGTTTATTAGGTGAGTGGTTATCACATGCAATGTAACTGTACTCTGTAAGCATGACAGTGGTCCTTTGTTTGATTAGAAGATTAACCTCATAACCTCATAATGTAGTATATTATACATGTAGTATGCTGTGTCAAATATAAACACTAAAATGATTTATGTTAAACCTTTTTATAGCCAATGTGGTGTCACTTTCACAACTTGACTTAGAAGTAAGTAGATTGTACAGAAAATGAATAAACATACATAGGGACTGCACTACTAAAATTGATGTTGAAATTCAATTAAGACTGAATCAAAATGTTTTATTTCTACAGGCTTTGAAAGCCAATCTGAGAGGTTTTATTGTAAGTATCCTGCAGGTGAAAATTATGTTTTAAGTATGATGTTGCTGTTTTGATTTTGAAATTGATAATTTGGTTGTGATGACAATGAGGTTTGTGTTTGATGTGTGATAAAAACAATTTATTTTGGTAAGCATAATGATAACAGAAACAGCAGCAATGATAATAATATTGTAATAACATTAGTAATAACAATAGTAATAATTATAGTAGATTGTAATAACAATGGTGTAGTAACATTAGGAACAACAATAGGGATATATTAATAACATTAGTAATAATTTTAAGTAATACCATGGCACTGAGGGATCTTAGGAGATTAAACGTCCCCAAAGCCAAGGGAAATTTAGTGGAAGTCTCAAGGCCACAGTAATAAACATGAATTAGTAAAACAATAGTAATGATTAGAATACTTTAACTCACCACTTGACAGCTTAGCTGCATAAACTAGAGTGTTTGACRTACATGTAAGTCTATCTATGCAGGAATGATGCCAAAGGATGATMATTGCCATGATGTTGCATGCATACATGTATTTGATTGTCTGGACTGCTGAARAGAGAATTCTGGTGATTAATGTAGAAATATTAGCATGGTGCTGATCACTRAAATGATAGGTGTCAATAGTCATTATCAACATGGTTGCAGGTTGTAGTGTCRCGATCCCTTCTCTACTGTCAATCATATGTTGCCAAGAAACAAAGTAGTCTCACCCACTGGCATCCAATACTGGGATGGTTTAAGCAGCAAAATGATAAAAGGTAATTCAGAATTATACAAATATCAATACTGCTGAGCTACACTATTAAGAGCTGAAAATAATGAATCACAATTGCHAGTTTTTTCATTGGGGATAAATACAAAACATGGTTTGAACCTTGGGCTTGAATTTTATGCGTAAATAGCCAGTGTTACAGCATCAAGAAAGCAGAGGTTGTTTGTCTTTTCTTTKTAGCTCTATGCAGGCCAGTAATTCCTACTGGGTTCCCCTCCCCACTCCCCTTAGAACTACTACTCAGGCTAACTAATTAACAGCCATCATTATAGATAACAGAGTTGAACCATAACTTGTGCTTTATATCTGCAGATTAAATGATTCAATCCATCATGTGACCAAACAACTGCAGTTACTTTGGCATCGCAAYATGGTTGAATTACTATTTGAAGATCTAAAAACAGTGACTGAATTTGAAAAGCRAACACAATCCAAAGAACAAAACAGGAAAGGTATCTGACAATATTGTACATTCTATTTTAGCTTGTGYTTATGTAAATCTGGGTCCTGATCTCCTGTTTTCCAACATCTACATGTACCAGTCCATAGTATAAATCCAGTGACTGAGTCAAAGTACATGTATGCAGTATTTAAACACCTCAACCAATATTAACTCATCACTATGAGCTTGGCATGGGAAGGTCAGCTGGCATAGGCATAGTAGCATTTACCTTTGAATGCTGTTGTCCTATTCCAATTAAGTCTACCCTACACCCTTAAGGATGCCTGTGTAATTCTAATGTTGATATATTTCCAGAAAGCAAATCCCTGTGGGGTCGCATTGGTTCTTTACAAATTGTTGGCAAGACAAACACCAAAGTCAGTCAATCCCAAGTGGAGTTGGTATCTAATGTATGTGTCATGTATCAAACCATGGTGACCACATTCTCTTTAATCAGACTGGATATCTTGACAGGTAAAGGCTTGGATAWTTAACCACTTTTCCCCTTTTTTGGTTCAACTGCTATCAGAAACACAGTTTAACCAATACTTGTGCTCAAAATTTATCATGGAAAATATTTCATGAACTCCTGCAAAATTTAACTCACTACAACCATAAAGGTGTATACAAAGCTGATAAAGGTTCTGTCTGTTCTTCTAACTGAAGCCATGCCATTCAGTCATGCCACTAAGATGCACATACATACATGATAAATATATAGAGAGTTAGCATAGCAGAGTTGTAATGGAATTTGTCTTGCAATCCAATCGATGTTCCAGGTTTAACTTCCTCAATGACCACCATCTTGAGATTAACTTCTAGTTGATCAAATTTAAATTCKCGCCTTTGTTTAAGGAATAGCCTTGGACTGGTTTACTTCCTTACCAGTTGGAATTTTTAATGGCTCCAATTAGGCTGCGTTTGGTGGGAAGGGCAACCTCATGGAAGAGTTGCCTATGGGTTGTGATGGTTGTAATGTTCTATTTACTTTCATTATGAAGGATTATGAATTATTTTATGAATTTGATACCATCAATTTTAGGACTGAGTTACCAAGAAGCATTCCTTGTGAGGCTGTGGCGGTTTTTTGAGTTGATTGGTAATAATGGCGGACCTGAGCTGGTGCTGAACAGCATATCAAAATCTGGTGTGAATTGTTCTCAAGCYTTACAGGCAACACTCACGCTGTTCTGTGATTGTTGCAGCCATCTTTTGCCGTGAGTATTGGAGTTTTACATGTAATAGTGGTGATACTTGKGTACGYTATTGGCATGATGGTGTGAGGATGGTAGARRTGATGGTGTTGGGATACCAGGTAATAATTCTAYYGTCARTGTTGGTAGCAATTGGGATGGTGATGTTTTTTGATGGTGTTAGAAGTTGAGTCGCAATGATTCATAGCAACTAGGGACGGTAGAGTTAGGCCTACTAAAAATTGGCTGACAATTAGGCGGGGCACTTTGGCGTCTATAGGTGTCATAAGGCAACTAAGGGAACTTTGGGGGATTACGTGGTTGGTTCGTTGGGACTTTGTGAAAAACAGGGCGGGGAACCTTGGGGTCATAAGTCGATTTCCTTGTTGTTAGTATTGTTTGTTCATGGTGATGGCAGTGGTAATGGTTGTTGTGTTGCTGGCGCTAGTGGTTTGCAATTTTTATGATGTTAAATGTGTTGTAATGGAGAGGAAAGTATTTCATCAATACGAAACAAGTTATCATAACTTAATCGATTTGACAAACATCTGTCAGTTGATGTTACCTTTACTAAGGATTTTTGTTCTTCACACAAAGGATTGTGGATGATCAAGAAATGTATGAGCAGCAGAAACCATTTCTCCTTGAAGACCTTGTACATATGTCGACATTTTTAAACAAACTCGTGTTTAAGTTGTACTGGAATGAGGTCATTGATGGTAAGSACTTCTTTTACTGTATTCCTCAACTCTTCTGTTTTAACAGTCTGTCTTCTTGTTTGTCAGATAATAAGCCACAAAGTGTTATTGCCGAAAGCCTTCTTAGTTCGTCGCGTACTCTTTTGGTTATACTGTATGACAGGGATTGTCGAAGGCCATTTACGCCACCAAACCACTGGCTTATCAAGTATGTAGTGCACTACAGGATATTTCATATTCACAAAAAACGAAATTGTATTCTTTTGTTTTCTTGCCGACTGTCTGTCGCAGACACTTTCTTACATCCDATGTGAAAGGCATAAGGTCATAATGAATGAAACTTAACTTTTATTTGGACACAGTGGTCCCTCCACATGCAGGCTGGCAATTTTTTCACGAAAATGCTTCTTTCGCCAATTTTCTGAAATGTTCTCCATAATGGAAATGGTAGTAAACACCCCGGGTACGTGTGGACTCGTGCAATTCTTCTGAAAGATTTTGATTCGTATCAATCTTTAGTGACAGCAATTATTTATAGTTCAGCCCAATTTGTTTTTTGGAAACCTGTCTCTTTCTTTATTAAGCCTTTATCTTCGCACCGCTGCGCCCCATGTGCTTCAGTTWAGCGCGCGCTGATGAGCTTTTCTAATAATAGTACTTTTTTATGTCCGCTCCAACAGTCCTCTTAGTAGTTTTTCTTTTTCTTAGCAAAAATAGAAGTAGTTTTACAATTTCTACTAAAAGAAAATGTAAAAACGGATCTTAGGGAGTTTTTTTAGGGTCTCTAATAAGTACGAGTACACAACTTCCATCATGCTTTGCTGAACAAGATGGCGTCGCTGCACATTGTTTGTTGACATTTGCTGCAGCTCTCAAAGGAATAAGAGTGCCAAGGCATATCAAAATTATCAAAATTTCGTAATGTTGCAAATCTATAAGCAATCTTTAAAACTATGATAGGTTCAAAGTCATTGCTTGGGCTCCCTGTGAAAAACATGAGACATTTTAGGCTAGAAATTATCCTACCTTATACGTCAGTCATGAATAATTCAAATTAGAGGCTTACGTCATAACTAAGTACTAATTACAAGWATACGTCAACAACCTAATTACTGCGATAATCTTGAAAGGTGCTCAGTGTTGTGCTGCRCTCTCTGTAAAGACTCGATTCTGCCGTGGTAAAACATTGACGCCTTACATGAGGAAATCACGTGACTTCTTGGATGTCCAACGAGCAAAAATATTGAAAAATCCGAACATTTTACATTCCAAAAATTCYGTTCAACCTTTTTTTCTTTTTAAAGCTTCATTATGAGCACGAAAGTGCGACTATTCGTATTCTGCTGCTATCGGAAATTTTTGGAAACGATTTCTAGAATGAAAACGGTAGAAAACCTTCCGGGTACGTGTGAACTCATTCGTTTTCCGTAGTGATTACGACTGTGATTTCGACACCATTTAACTGATTGTTTATTGTTTGATGTTTTATAGAGAAGTCAAGTCATCAACGTTTAAGTACGAGCTCGTGGAAGGACGACGAAGAGCAAYTACCATCTTACAGAAAATACCACATGTCATGCAGCATAAAGAAGTAAGAATGACGGGCCGTCCTTAAAACTAGTATGACAAACCTTGAAATATATATAGTTATTTTAAACAAGTTGTCGTGGTGATTAGAGAATACACGAACGAAAGTTACTATGGTTATTGATAATTGATGGCAATATTCACCTATCACAAGGCTTCAGTTTTCATTGGATTAAGAACTTCGACAATATTTTTTTTTATTAACTATTAAGTTTCTCAGTAAATGAGTGAATATTATCGATCAAAAAGTGAATACCCACAGCAATTTCTTCCTTTGAACAATTTCCGACTGTTTGAACCGACAACCTTACGTTGAAAAAGATCAGACATGCACTTTSTTATTTTAGTTGAAATTAAGTTTTTTTTTTGCAATGAGATATAACAAATGATGGCACCTATACTATCACCAGCTTCCTTTTTTTAGAAGTTTGCAAAGTAGTTGTTAATTCATACATTGTATTTTTGTCATCAAGCGGGTACAATTATTCCGTGAGTTTGTGGCGAAAGATAAAGAAGTCCTTGGAATCACGAGACCCAACGATGACTTTGTACCACAAGGAACTTTGATTACAATACACAGAAACCGCTTACTCGAGGTAATTATGATATTAGCTGTATTTAGACCCAGGGGGAGGGAAGACATATTTGAATCCTGTGGTGATGGGCGAGGCAGTCATGAAGGGTAGTAGCTGGGGGGCGTAGTATATGCACACCTCACAATGAAAACTAGATGCTCAATTRTTATTGGAAAAATTATTGGAAAAGATTCAATAACAGCACAAATTTAGAAAGCTTCAGGCCTTTTTCCAGAAACAATACTTTTGCAACTGATTGAAATCCACCGAAAGATTTTAAGCCTGCGTGTATTGTGAACGAAAAAAACTTACGGAAACGACTTTCTCAAGCCTCTATCTTTATCACATGTTAGTACCGCTGCTTTCCATTTGCTTCACTCGCGCGGATCATGATGGGTCTTTTAACGCGGAAACTAAAATGTTTATTTGTTGTCAGTGGTCCTGAGCGAATTCTAAAAGCATGTGCTTTTTGGCTAGCAATTCTCCTAGCCTTCAATTACTGCATCGCTACAATGAATTTGGTTTACGTCATAAATAATTCAAATTAGAGCCTTACGTCATAGCTAATACTAATTAACAGTTACGTCAACAATCAAATTACCWCGATAATTATGGAAGTTGCTCAGTGTTGTTTTGCTGGTATTTATAAAGACTCGAAATAGAGACTCGATTCTACCGTGGTAAAACATCGACGACTTGCATGAGAACCACGTGACTTCAGGGATGAGCAAAAATAGATTATCCAATCAACTTCCATTCCGAAAATTCCGTTCAATTGTTTTTTAAAACTTCATTTTGAGCGAGTTTCCATATTAGCAGGAGAAGGATAAAATGAGATCAAGGTTGGTCAAATTAATATAACTGTTGTTTTGAAATGATTACCTTTTAATTTCGCYAACGTTCATTTTTAAGAAACAAATTTCAGTTTTCATTAACGTAACCTTTAACCGATTGAGCTGCCATCAAATCAAAATCACTGCTTGCAAGAACTGAAACATACTCATTATTAATAATACCAAGGTCACTGAACGACGACTCAAGAAAGCATGATATTTCTGAAGTTTAGCTTATAGTTTTATTCTGTCGATACAATCTCATCATCGTACTCCAAGCAAAGTCGAAGAGTATTTTGCAAGTTTAACTGTATCATCTCAGAATGAGCTGGCTTTTACGAATGTCCAGCTGATAGTCGTAAACGAMGGATGCAGCAAATAGGTTGATATCGTCCCTTTTWTTAAAGAAATTTTATGTGCAAAGAACGCCCTGCCGTTMAGAAAAGTTAAMTGCGAAATCMTAAAATTCAAGTTCTTTTTAGTCCTCCATGTAAGTCGAATTCTTCAAATACATTTGTTTCCGAGCAATTTGCAGTCACTGAAGAATCTTGAAGAGTCTTCGATTGAACAAATGTGATGAAGTATTATCTGTAATGCGTATCAAGTGTGTCGGTGCAATAAAAAATGGTTATCATTTAATTCGGTTTATCTTTGACAATCTCTTATACTTTGGTGGTTCTCGTTATCCGTCCATTGATTGTATTTGCCATCAGCATCTACCGTTKTGTGTATGGAAAGTTTTGACTCATTTTCAAAAACATTTTCGTTTTTGTGCAGCTTCCAATAAAATCAGGTCCTGGCTACAGCCCTACGGTCCATTTGTTAATGAGTAATGAGAACATAGTTCTACTAACTATGATGAGAACCATTGTTAAAGTTGTTTTCGATCACATAAAAGGGACCACAAGATCCAGTAAGGAGTTTTAACCAATATATTTGGGTTTATTAGTTTGGGAGGCATCCTCGGAAAAGCAGATTACAAAAGAGACTAAACTTTACGTCACTGCTGTGCAGTTTCTCTTAGAGCAGCAACGACCAGCTAATCGCTGCAATTATTTCTTGTAGAATGGCTACGATCAACTGTCCACTTTGCCTATAAATGTCCTAAAAGGAATCATTCGAGTACGGTTCATCAACGAACAGGTAGATCAGTTTGATGTTAATTTCGATTCGATGTTATAATCTGRCAAAGTGTGCTCACTATTTTGCTTTGACTTATCAATAAATTATTTATATGTTATAATAAAAATTGGATTCTTTAATCCTTGATATAGGGTCTACCAGAGGCTGGTATCGATCARGATGGAGTGTTCAAGGAGTTTCTGGAGGAAACCATCAAAAAGGCCTTTGATCCTTCTCTTAATCTGTTCAAAGTAAGCCAACCATCAAAACATCAAAACTGCCAAAAATTTGTTAACGAGAGTCAGTTCTTGTCTTGTATAAATAACACTTTGATAACGATTGCAAACAAGACAAATAACTAGAAAGAATAGACACGAGATCTTGCAGACTTCAATTCAGCTCATTCATTTCACATTAATTTATCGAGTTGTCACACGAAAAAATAGACGATTTTCGAGATGCGCGGTATTTTCCACAAATATCTAGTCGSAGACACGCGCATGAGGTATTTTCTGGTAATAAAGCGATACCCGAAAATACGCGCGCGGAAACTGATGTAAGACTTTTCAGTAACATTCTGATTAGTTGAAGCATAGTTCATAGTTCTATATTGCCGTGAGTGCATCCATGGGATCCAGCAAAGGTACAAAATGTCTYAGAGGCTTCGGCGTCACAGCCTTGACCTTCATAGCATTGTGATGTTAACATTTCATGTCGATTGTGGTTGACTGTACTTCGTGGTTTCAGATGACCACGGGTGACGAGCAGCGTTTATACCCCTCGCCGACTTCGTTTATTCAAGACAATCATCTGAATCTTTTTGAGTTTGTTGGGAAAATGTTGGGMAAGGCCGTGTATGAGGTAAACCACCRCATATACTGAAAACACCAAACAACAACATTGACAACTGCGACAATRACAGTAACAACAACAATGACTGCAACAATGACAGTACAGCAGTAATGGCAGCAACAAAATGAAGATGACAGTAAACATTACATATACAGGAATAATGGAAGGAAAATTATTATTTTTTACTGTTGTAACAGTAACAGTCAATGTGGTCTGTTTCAGGGCATCGTTGTAGAGGTTCCGTTCGCTTTGTTCTTTTTAAATCATGTCCTTGGTCACCAACATAGCTCATTGTACAGCTCCATCGACGAACTCCCCTCGCTTGACCAGGAACTTTACAAGAGTTTAACCTTTGTCAAGGTACAAAACACGAATCATGCATCTCCTTTTGTATCAAAACCATCATTTYCATAACCAGACCATCTTGTAAAGATATATTGCATCGCTTAGCTGCGTCATGTTGGATKACTGATCAAAACTGCGGCCGATATAGGATGTATTACATGGCGTGCAGGTGCAGGATGGGTTGTTCACCACAAAAATGGTGACAATTAATAGGGAACACCCCGTACACCCACAAGCTGGCTTCTCCATGCATTGAACAATTTTTCCCACTCTTAAACTTTCAGAGAGAAATACATTTCCTGCCAAACAGAATGTCTTCCGTTCCTTAACAGTTATATGAACCGGAATATTTGAATCCTGAATATGAACACTATGAGTTTTCAATATCAAAGCTTCACCATCAGGTAATAATTTGTTGTTTTCTACACAGAACTACGACGGCGATATTGGAGATCTTGATTTGACTTTTGCTTTTGAAGAAGATGTATTGGGAAAGGTAACGACTCACCAAATCTACTTCAACTGTATCAACCCCGATATTACAATCGGCAGTTGTAATCAACATTCTCCAGTGTCTCTAACAACATTTGAGTTGAAATAGCGATATACATCAGATTATGGAATAGAGCACAAGAAAGCCTTCAGAGACGCAATTCTTCTGAATTGCTGTTACACTGTCTCTTCAACTTGTCTATGTCAACATTGTAACAGAAGTCGTGCAACTTTTTTTGGTTGCGCACAGCGTTGCATGAAGTAGAACACTGGTCCTTTTTTGTAACCCATGGCAGCAGCATGCGACGCCATGTATCAACCCTCCAGCAACTTTTCACGCAATTCACCAATCACGTACGGCATGAGAGCATGGACAATTTCTCTTACAATTTCTTGTCTCGAGAAATCTTGATTCTGGCTCACAGTTTCTTCCTTGCAATTTGCTTTACTACTGAAAATTGTACCGTGTAGTATAGTAATAAAACCTTTCGTCGCAACGCCTTTTATCGCCGCAGTTCGATTTTGCTGTTACTCGGTGTAACAGCACCTTTAATAGCCTGTTTGCGAATTTCGCCTCAGTAGTCAAACAACAGAATCAAGACGAGGCGCTGTGCGTAAAGCTCAGTCAATTGTGAAAAACTATTGTCTTTTCACGAATGATGGAGCTTTATGCACGGCGCCTCGTCTTGMTTCCTTTGTGTGTGACTACTGAGGCAAAATTCGCAAGTCGGCTATTAAAGTAGAGAAGCTAATAGGTGACGGGGTAGAAAGATGACAACGAAAGTGTATTATACATTATCTCACACGCGATAAGCAATGCAATCCTTTAACAATATTCTTGTGATATTTGATAAGGTTGTGACTCACGAACTGAAGCCAGGAGGAAGYGTAATCCCTGTTACGCACGAAAACAAGTAAGAWTATATTGACCATACCATGTGYTGTTCCTTTGAAAACTATTCACTTTCTCTCTCCTCCCCYGACAGGATTAGTTACGTCCACCTGATGGCGCACTATAGAATGTGTGTACAAAACCATCAGCAAACAAAGGCCTTCATCCGGGGATTCAAGTCCATCGTGCGATCTGATTGGCTGCGTATGTTCTCGGCCCCAGAGCTCCAACGTCTTATTTCTGGCGATAACACTGGGCTTGATTTATCTGACTTGAGGTCTGAATTGAATGTCAATCTAGTGATGTTGTTATAGTAAAAACGTAATCAAGGTTTTTGCTCCACTAATTTTATCATTAGTCCTCTTCAGTTCTGATTAGTTTTAAACTTTTCACATTGTAGCGTTTAGTTAATTGAATGCAACTTATCTCTTAGAAAACATACCCGTTACTATGGCGGTTACCATGGCAGCCATCGTGTTGTGGTGTGGTTGTGGGAAATCCTAGACAAGGATTTCGACGACAAGGAAAAGTCACTATTTCTGAAGGTATGACCAATGTCGTATGTTTTTAGCACTTTAACTGGCCATGTTATCTATATATCTTAACTAAAGAATCTCTCCCAGGCTATAATTTACGTGTTGTCTTAACTAGACCACGTTAGGAATGACAATTGATGTTTGTCCTTGGGTTGCTATGTTTTTTTTAATTCAATAATATCTATTTGTTTCAGTTTGTGACAAGCTGCTCAAAGCCACCTCTACTCGGATTTGAACATCTAGAACCGCCATTTTCCATTCGTTGCGTGGAATGCAGTGATGATGAGGTAACATGAATGGTTAAAAATAAAGGCCATTGTACTTTCATATTCATGATATATGCTGTATTTTTTAGGATGATGGGGATACGGTAGGAAGTGTTCTTCGTGGATTTCTTAACATAAGACGGCGTCGTGATCCAGTGGGCCGACTACCAACAGCATCTACWTGTTTTAACTTATTAAAATTACCCAATTACCGCAAGAAGAGCACCCTACGCGACAAACTGAGATACTCTATTCAATGTAATGCTGGCTTTGAACTGTCCTAAGATAACATGCACACATCGTTTCGGTGGTCTGAATCGAATTAATTCGTGCGCGTTTAATACGGGGAAAATATTCGTGWTGTTTTTTTCTACAGTAAAATAATGTACGCCTTCGTGGTCGGTTTTCAAAACCAGCCTTAGCATGGGACACSTAAGGATGATGGGAAAATCCAAAAACTGAAATAATTCTCAAAATATGTCGTTTTCTTTGCAGACACAACTACATGCACTTTACATCTTGTGTCATAAGCTGAATAGAAATAGTTTTCAGAATCATCACTGAAAAATGTAAATAATATGAAAGTTTTATGAAATTAAATCAATTATCTTTAAGACTTTGGGGAAGTTGCTGTGTATATAAAGTGACAAGTATTTACCTTCAAGATGGAAAGGGCTGAATGTACACCTATATTTCAAAAAACGTTGTCATCGCCAGGACACAGTCCACAGTCTTGAACCTGCAAAGGATCTTKGGATTGCCATATATATTGTWTATTCAATTTGGAGTTCTCCCCTATATTCGCCATACGTTCGGGGACGTGCCGCCAACCAGGGTATCGTTTTCAGCGATTTTACTCTGGAACAGGTTATCGATTTAAACGAATTTGCTCTGGAACAGGGTCAGGGTTTAATTCCGGAGTTATTGATGCTGGGTAAAAATTTACGGGGTAAAAATTCGGTCTACACGCAAGCTAGTTCTGGATTTTCTCTGGAACAGGGTATCGTTTTCAGCGATTTTACTCTGGAACAGGGTATAGTTTTCAGCGATTTTACTCTGGAACAGGGTATAGTTTTCAGCGATTTTACTCTGGAACAGGGTATAGTTTCCAGCGATTTCACTCTGGAACAGGGTCAGGGTTTTCAGGTCCCAGCGGCACACCCCCACCCACTTCAAATGCAGAAGATTGTAGAATGCTTTGCATATACAATCCAGTAAATCCAGAATCCTTGTGAAAGTTTTCATGGAATCCAGAATCCAAGAACGCTCCAGATTGATGTAGCRGGCAATTTACAAGGATAGATTTTAGCTGCAGAATACATATATATATATATATAGAACTTTCAGAAAGTGCAGTCAAAACTAAGAATGAAAATATTTGCATCCACATGCTACAATAAATGTTATGCATAACATGCAGGGACCGCGGAGCTGGAAATTGTTTGAGGGGGGGGGAGGGGGTTTGGGGTGCTAGCGACTGSCGAAGGCAGGAGGTACTAGGGGGTATTCCACCAGGAAAATTTTGAAATCTTAAATTTCTTAAAAAACTTTTGAGGCGTTTTCCAATACATATTTCTGACCGCTAAAACCACACGCACGGTCACACAATATTCAAAAAGGCTTCAATTTTAATATTTCACCCTCAGTTTTTAAACAATCTTTATAGAATGAAAAGTGAAATTTCATAAGGAGGCTCTTCACAACTTTATCAACAAAATTCAAAATGGCGGAAAAATTATTGGGGGGCTGTAGCCCCTCAGCCCACCCTGCTCCGCGGTCCCTGACATGACACATCCCCTTATCCACTTGTGAATATGTTTTGCTACCACTGAAAATAAACAGATTTGAGAGGAATTTGTTGAAAAGTGGAAAAATTATTGGGGGGCTGTAGCCCCTCAGCCATCCTGCTCTGTGGTCCCTGACATGACATCCCCTTATCCACTTGTGAATATGTTTTGCTACCACTGAAAATAAACAGATTTGAGAGGAATTTGTTGAAAAGTTAAGATACAATCTTTCAAAGGAATGTATCCTGTATAATGGACTATTGGGGAATAAAGTGAGCGCCAGAGCGAAGAGGTTAGGGTAAACTGAAATGGGACAAGCATTAAATCAGAATGTAACCTCATTGATAATTTTCACTTTAAGAACTTATGAATTATTCATGAATTCTAGAATGGTACAGTGGAATGAACTCAGTAAAAAATKTACTCAGTAATTTTCAATTATATATATAAATTAATAGTACTTTACAAAGGAAAACTTGAAAAAATAACATAAGATTTATTAGTATGTCTAATGACAATTGTTCTCTCAATTATCTCTGGTAACTTGCTCCTAGGAAATAGCAAATATTTTCATCTCTGGCCTTTAAATTTTATTTTTAATTTCATTATTAAGATTTTATTTGATGCATTCATTTTCTAAAATCAATTGGCCATGCAAAACATCCTAGTGTACTATTTTTATCTTGAAAAACCCATTTTCCCTGTCAACCAAACAAAGTTGTTAATACAGTATTTTCTCTAATGAATTTAAATTCTGCTTACTCTCATAATAAAAAATCTACACAAAATAGAGTAAACAAGAATCTATATATTGTAGTCTTTTCACTATAACCATCCTAAAGTAATCTCTTCCTTTGCACCAAAGCAAGATGATCAGTAGTAAGCTTGCAACTATGAATACCTATAATGCCTATAGGTGTGAAGGTAGCCTGCAATGTCATTCCATTTGGAATTGTTTGCCTTGGATATGCATGCCACTTTGACTTTTCAAAGTTTCATTTGATTGATAGCAATTGATAGCAATCTGCATTATTTCCCTGCATTCACTGGTGCATGATTACTACTAAAAAAAACATTCTTTACATCCCCAAACCCACAGAAGTCTGGCAATGCATGCGCGGGGTAGTGCGAAGGATGATATCTGTCATTGCAAGATCACCGGGTCTTATATATCTTCAAAGCAAAGGCATGGCTTCTTTAGCAAAAGGTGCAGTGACATCTGAAAGGACTTTTGATGKGTAACCATTCATAACAAATAATTTGATATAATTCTCACTTTTGTCTGATATTAAAGTTCATATATTAAATAAACACTACCGTAACATCTTTCTTATGTCTTTTTGAGCCTTTTGTACTTTGATATCAGCAGTTTCAGCCTTCATGGTGATCCTTGGCAACTGTTCGTTCTGTCTGTCTATTTCACATCCCAGTATCATTGCATCTTCTTTCAGTCGACTCAATCCCTGAGACATCAAGTCGAGATTTTCGTTCACTTGTCGTTCATAAGGGTCGTTTGATCTCAAGGTTTGTTCTTGCCTGTAGTAATTAGAGCTAGGACTTGTCCCATACTGCTTGCTACCGGACGGACTCGGTTCAAATGCGTGTGAAGTGGTGATGTTGCCAAGGCCTGGCTGGGGTTCGGTGGCTGGGATTTCTGAGGCAGTCTTTTTAGGCGCTCGTTTGAAATAGTTGCCGACAGTCCCCCAAATACTCTTCATAGATGTAATATGTCTATTTGCAACGTTCATATCATCGTGTATAACGTCAAGATTTCTTTCAATACGATTGAGTTGTTCCCCTTGATAGACTAACTCCTCAGCTGTCTTGCATGCCATATCATGAGAATCGTCTATCAAAGCCAACGAGCGTTTTGTACTTTCTAAAGTGCGTTGCTGTGCTTGCCTCATTTGTCTCTGGATTTGATCTCCATTTACGAACTCAAAATCGTCATCTTGGTCATCCAAAAACGGGTTAGAACGGTCGACTTTCGCTTTGCCTATGTTCGCCGCCATGTTGTTCTTTTACAAAATGGTTATTTTTAGATTGGACGTCATCCTGAGACGTYATAATCAAATTTGCATATTCTCGGAATCGGAGAGAACTACGAATAAAGGATGATGAGCTTGCAAAAAGTATTGATGACGTTCGTGCATATTGTTTGAGGCCAATTGCATGACAAAAACCAGATAGTATTGTATGATAAAAAAAGACATAAAATATGTCTCACTTTGTCTCATTTTCTCTTGGTCTTGTGGCGATTGTTCTCTAGTAGACTTTCGAAAAGTCCGTTTTTCGCTCGTCCCATTCCTGRGAGTAAAAGAGAGTCCGACTTGAATTCATTCAAGACTAAGGTCTGAAAATATGTCTTTCTTCTGGTCCCGAGAGGAAAAGGTCCTGGTCTAAAAGGTACTGACATTGTGAGATGACGTGCGTGTCAGTAATAACATTTCGTTCGACGCTAAGACGAACCAGGCAATAAAGGATTGCGCAATATTTATCAGGAGGGAGGGAGGGGTGGTTGAGTAATGAGCCAAAAAATCAAAAAAGTTGAGGTTGATAGTCTTGAACTTTAACAGTCTGCGACCAGATCGAAGTTTAAGTCACCCACCTTCATTGTTGTTTTGCCTTCTGTGTAAAATTGACTATGGAACATTAAACATCAAAGGTATAATTCAACTGAAAAATACCCTAAAATTCTGGGTGTAATAAATAATGATAAAATTACACRTCCATTATCGACGTTACTTGTGGCCTGGTAAACGCTTTTAAAGTGCATTCAAAAAAGAACATTCTCAGTAACTGGCCCGTAGGCTGCCTTACAAAAGGGGGGATTCGCTTTTTTCATAATGCGGACCTAAATTAAATGTTGAACTAAATTAGTTCAATGCACAGTATAGTGTGTAAGARCTGGMTGCTAGTATGAGCAGTTCATACCAATTACTATCTCAAAAACAGTTCATAACAAAAGAATTTTCAAAATAGAACAATAGAAAAAGAAACATGCACACCGGACCTTTTATGCTTGTGGGGGGTTCGTCCGAACCCCYCGAACCCCTCCAGCMTACGGGCCTGAGATGCTTGAAACTACTAGAAATGAAGTATTTKGTGTACAGTTAGCAAGGATAAACATCAAATGAAAAACATTTAAGATTGTTTTGTCAAAACACCGGAAGTTTCTTTATATTTTCAGTTGCCTAACTTGGCCAAGTATACCAGCTTAGCCAGTAAGGGACGGCGTGCTTCAACTTATGCACGAAAGCCCTCAAAACTCTACTTGCAAAATTTGATTAAGCTACAATCTTGATCAAAACGTAKGCCCCTACTTGCCTTACAATATCCGATATAAAAATCCGTCTGCAGAAACGAAGGAATAGCTGGAATAGGGAGCACTCATTATTTCTGCCATGCAGGTGCCGGCAGGCAAGACATAGACAAAGGTCAGCAGAAATATGCAGTAAATGCCCAGTAAATGTAATGTAGATTTTCAATAACTTCTATATGGGGTTATAAACGTTTTTTATTTCACTTGAAGTGAGATGGGTCGAGAAGTTTTACTTAACTGATTAAATATCCCACTGATTTGTTGAACACGAAACACATAAGGTTTTTATACACGAAACCGTCTTCAAGGCTTACCACTGTACTCTACTGTCTAAATCAGCATTAGGCTGTCAAATAAAATTCCTTCTTGCTTGAGCACATTCAAGCATATTTAGTCGAGTATCATTTAATATCACTGGACATTAGGAATATTGGCTTGCGATTGTTGTAATGTTAATTTGATGATCTTTTGTTGATCTGATCGGGTATCACATGATCACACAAAGTAGCGGGTGACAGGGGTCGATAGCACCTTTCCATGAAGGAACTGTAAAGTACCTGTCAAAAATGTGTAAACATGCTTTATATACAAGAAACATTCAGTTTAACAATAAAGATATATTCCAGTACATGTTTACATCTAAGTTACAATATCGATGAGTGAAGACACAGCACGTGGATGTCACGACATCTAGAATCAAAGAACCAGTTTACAAAACCTGAATTGTTACTTGAAAACTGCAGGGGTGCTTCAGCAGTCCGCACTTTGACTCTTCTACCGATAACAACACATGAAATTCTTGAGATGGAAAGAATTTTCTTTCTTCAAAGAGAGACGTATAATTTTTACATTTTTAAAAAAGACATTTTAACAAAAACCTTCAATGGAACAGTCTCTAAGCAAGTTACGAACTGTGATTCTATTTCTTGTCTCGCTGGTCGAAATGACTTTATTCTCAGCACCACTTCTTGGCTGGCCATCGTTGATTATTATTCTTAAAGAAGAACAAATTGCATCACATTTGTGTCCGAGACTCTCCATACAAAATGGCAGTCAATCAATAAATTACCAGCACTTCTCATTATGTGCAGAACAGGAGAAAAGTTTGAACTTAAGTCATAACATTGCAGTAATGGTAATGGCAGTATATGTATTCCTGGCAGGATGGGCAATAGATAGATATGGTGCAAAACCAGTAAAAATATTTTCCAGGTAAGTGATTACACATAGTTATTCGATATGTCTAGTTGATATTAGTATCGGTTATCAAGAAGAATACGTGACTAGTGGCGTTTAATCTGAGCGCATGTGATTGAAAGTCCCTATCGCTACTCCATAGCCTGCGTAGCGGCCCTAAGGGGATTGGGGAGGGCCGGCCGAGCGGGGAGTGGGGAGGAAAATAGGAACTATTTACTATTTACTATTACTTCCTATTTTCCTCCCCACTCCCCGCTCGGCCGGCCCTCCCCAATCCCCTTAGGGCCGCTACGCAGGCTACTACTCCAGGTGAGACCAAACATAGCCATGGATGTATTATTATGTCCAGGGCACGATCCTCTCAGTCAAAAGAATGAAAAACACTAAAAATCTTTACGAAAAACTTCAAAGGTGATAAACTAACAGCATGGGAGATAATGCACATAATGCATGCGTCTCATCGATGTCGACGGATTTTTGTTTTGTTTTGCTTTTTTTGACGATTTTTCTTTATTTCTATCATATTATTGTTGTTTTTTTCAGCGCCATGTTTTCTCTGTCGGCAGCATTGTTTATGTTTACAACATCCAGTAAGTGCTAATAAATCAACTGTTACATGAACACATTCCCGTCAACATTATTGACCTTTACATAAACAACCACCCATATTTGGAAACTTGATTGATGGCAGAGAGGAATGGGAGGATCAAAAACTCATGAAAGTCAGGAGAAATTGCGCATATATGAAAAGTTGAAAGTTCACTCCCTTTTCACTTTTCTAATGGTCCGTCCCTAATCCACGATAATTGSTTGGATTAACAAGGTGGAGCTACATAGTTACCAAATAACCCCCCACAGATGCTTCAACTTACTGCATCTGTGGGAGTCCATACAAAATCTTCTGTCATCGGTTTTTAGATGAGATTTTCGATTGAAATTTTTAAACAAAACCAAATATAGTTGCTTAAGTCTTCGTTTTTCTCGTTTTTTTTTTTTACTTTTTTTCGGCGTATCCCTTAAGGTTGAACAGACATATTTTCTTGCTCTTAGAGAAATTCATTTGCTGTGTTTGGGCATGGACATCGGTTCTGGCGGCATCATGATTGACAGACCTGCCTTGTCAAAGTCTGGATTTCTCTGCCTTAATATCGACGTCAAAACACCAAAGGAAGAAGCGAGCGGAAGTTCGTTGTTCTTCGTGAGCGTTTTATCAAACTTAACTTTACCGATTTTTTTATCTTCGAAAATTCTTTTGGATGAGAAATTTAGATGTCTTGACAGCACATATTTTCTAAGATAAGTCTGTGCCGTTTTTAAATCACGGACCCATACACRGTGTCACCGATCAAAAGTGATCTCTGTTTGAGACTTCGTTTATGAATTGACACTGCGAATGAATTGCGCCAAGCATAAAAATTGAAAATCTTTCCTCCTTGATATGTGCTCCGGACTTTTATTAAACAAATYACAATGCTCGATTTTGTCGATCATCACTTTAGACTTCAATGTCTGCTTTACAAATGAGATTGTGACGTCAATCATAGTAACCGGGACTGAGTCTTGCAGTTTTCCAAAACTATTTCGCTGCTGCTTGTAATAATCGATCTTTGATMTATGAAAGTCTGACATAACGAACACCAATGTCATTCAATGGATGTTAAAGGGTACATTTAGGGTGGGGCAAGGGGGAGATGAAGCCCTTTTCTTCTCATCATATGTTTTATATTCAATATTTCTTGCTGGATCTGCTCGATAATCTTTGTCCACCCTTCTCTCAGGTCGTGGTTAATTATATATTAAAGTAATGACCATATAATGTTAAAAAAGTAAATTCGCAGAATTCTTGGTGTGCAAGTTACGTCATCACCGCCATGTTGGATGAAAATCACAAAGCATTCCTCATTAGTTTCTCTTATTCATTCATCCATCATGGCGGCGATAGCTTTATTTCTCAGGGGATTCCTGGTGGTGTGTTTGCACACCAAGAACAACGCTATGACTACATAGCTACCACAGGAAACCCATGCAATTGATACCGGAAAAACACATACCTGAATGACTAGGTTTTGAATTATAACTTTGATTTTGTTTTAAAAGAAACTCCAGAAACCCTGACACCAGCACTGGTAGCCACAGTGATTGCAAACGTTGGGCTGATGCTCAGCATTGTCAAGGTATAACTACTTAACTGGAAAAAATCGCGCGCTTTGAAGGTTGTAAATTTGATGTAAATATGATGTAAGTGTCCAAAATTCTGTAAATTGAATGGAAATCATTTACATCAAATGCACAGCTATACGTTGAAAAAAAAGTTTGAAAAACCTTTGTTTGAGCTTATAAATGCGATGGAAGTTTCTTTGAAGTCCGCAGTTTTGTACGGCAAATGGAAGTCCACAGCAAACAGCATCTTTTTGTGTGCGTTAACATCGTCTGCTGTCACGTTTCTTATATTCAAGGTAACGTATGTATTGTAATGAAAAAAGTCTTAAAAATTTCCTTTTATTATTTGCACGTTTTCTCGTTATTTTTGCTTTTC